TTTACTCTTTTTCTACTCTGGAGAAATCTCTTTTACTTTTTTTTTTTTTTAATATTTATTTTTTCATTGAGACAAGGTCTCACCTTGTTTCCCAGGATGGTCTAAAACTCCTGAGATCAAGTGATCCTCCTGCCTCAGCCTCCTAAAGTGCTAGGGTTATAGGTGATGAGCCACTGCGCCCAGCAAAGAAACTTATTTTAAAACAGAATACATATATGTCCCTCAACAAAAAAATAAAAGCTTTCCTGAAAATCCTGGACCTCAATCTTCTGGGAGTGACTTTGGGCTACTGCTTCAATTTCTCTAATGCTGGTCTATAGAGGTTCTTAATTTATTTTTGGATCAATCTGGTAATCGTCTTCAAAAATATTTCCATTTTGTTTAAGTTTTCATATTCACAGGTTTTATCTTGTTGGGTTTGTCCATTTCATTTGGCTTTTCAAAGAGCTAGGTTTGAAAGAGGGGGAAAAACTGACTACAGTCAAACTGTCACAACAACTAATAGTAATGAATATTCTAAACCGACTGCTCCCTTCAACTTCTCTTCCCTGCCCTCAGTAGGAAATGAGTTATTAAGGAGCTAAACACTCTTTATCCCCAACACTTTTTAAAATCACTCCACCACATGAACTTCTAACCTGTCCAAAAGATAGACAAGGTATTCAGGTTCACAACAAATGGATTAATTCCCAAACCCTTTAAGTAAAACCTATTAGGTTTGGGCATAAAATGAACCAAGTAAAAGGGTACAAAGCAGCTCTGAAAGAAAAGTACCTGTAATAAGGAAGTTGCCGTGTTCCTCCAAAGGTTCACTGTATTTTCGGACCACATGATTTAAACCAAGGTCTAGCTCATAGAAAGTAAGTGTCTGCTGGGTATTAGCTGCTGCTTCCCCTGTCGGATCATTGTCTGCTTCCTACAGAGAACAGTGGCATAAAAATTAATCAGCAGCATAAAATCGAAGATCTAGAAAGTATATCAGGACTCCAATCTACAAATGAGAAAACAGAAGTCCACAAA